CTTGAGCAACATGAAATAGAATATCATATATATCACATATATCACAATTATCTTAAACACCTTATAATAAAATATAAACTGAGAAAGTACAAAATTAAAATGGATGTAATCAAAAAGGTCACATTCAGTAGATTGACATAGATATGTAAGGAGCAATGTATAAATTAAATGTAATTATTTTGATGTATTTATTGATTTACTTAAATTTATTTGTAAGATTTCTATTAAAAAATGTTTTAAAGATAAAAGAGAGAGGTTCACCCACTGGAACCTGGAGCCTTGTCATAGGTCCAGGGTGGGTAGGAGACAACGAGACCCCAACCAAGTTGCGGCGGTTCAAGGGGTTTGCAGTGCTTATGGTGTCAAGTGGAGTGCTTGGAGCCCTGGGAAGCACCAGGAGCATCCATCAATGGAGGTACCCAGTCGGGGTGGCAGGTGATCCGTTACATTGGTGGCAAGCAGTGGAATGGTGTCCTAGTGCGAGGAGAAGCCGCTCGGAGACACCAGTAACATGGTGATTATAGTGAGGCAACGCCAGCACTCGTGCAGCACCCCTGGAAGCAGAGGTAACCAGCGACTTGGAGCAGACAGGTATGGAATGCTCTGACTTTGACGACGATTGGCTGGCCGAGATGAGGCAGTGGATGGCCTGGTATGGTCCTAATGTGTCCATGGATACCTGCCAGTCGATCTGGAACCAGGTCACAGTCGAGCAACAAGCAAAGAAGGACTGAGAATTCCAGAAAAATCTCCAGCGGAAGAAGGTTTACAGCAGCCAAATAGACTCTGCATCCGATGATGTTAGCAGCTTTCCCCTGAGGCAGCCAGAGGTACCCGAAGTAGGAGTCCTCATAGACTGGTCCTGAGAGGAACCCCAACAGGCAGGTGGAGATGGGACCAAGGTCTCTCCACCAGGCACCATTAGTTCTCTCTTTCTGTTGCATATATTTCTGCCAAGAATACTCTGATCTGACCCCATTCCAGAAGAACCAGCCTGACACTTTGAGGATTTATCTTCCAGCATGTCTTACCCTTTGGATTCACACTTGGACTTATATTTGAACTTTCTTTTGCTTTTTATTTGTTTGTTTTCCTGTATATATATTGGAGAATGATCCTACTTCTCAGTACATCGTGAGACTTAAAGAATTGTTAGAGTACGATCTCTAACTGCTAATTTATCAGAATATGTAGATAAATATATACAAAATATAGTAATTTGCCTGAAATCCTACCTCAAAAATTCCACCCAAATCCTTCATTTATTATCTGATTTCATTTAGGAAGAAGACATGATTTTGGTAACAGCTGATGTTACCTCACTCTGTATAGTCATTAAGCATTTACAAGGATGTGAGGCCATCCAATATTCTCTTGCGGTCTACTCATAACTTAAGAATGATCAAATTGATTTTCTGATCCAATGTGTAGCTTTCATTTTGAGCCATAACTATTTTTGGTCTGACGGTCAATTTTACCTCCAACTAGAGGATACAGCCATGGGAACACGTTTTGCGCCAAGTTATGTGAATTTATTTATGGGTAAGTGGGAAGATGAATATATCTGAGACCAGTGCTCATTTGGCACAAACTGTTCCTATGGCGAAGATACATTGACGACTGTTTTTTATATGGCGAGGCGATATAGAATCATTGGAACAATTCAAAATCTACCTCAATCACAACCCTTATAACTTGAAATTCACCTTTTCACATTCAAAAAGCCAAATTGAATTTTTAGATCTGGGTATCTATATTAAAGAAGGAAAACTACAAACCAAAACTTTCAAAAAGAATGTAGACTGCAGTAGTTTTATCCCCTTCAAAAGCCACCAAAAACATATGTGGCCAAAGAATATCCAATTCAATAGCCAATTCAGGAGAATTAGAAGAAATTGTTCAGAACTAGATATCCCCCACAATACATAACATATCCGATCCCCCAGAATACATAAAATATCCGATCCCCCAGAATACATAACAAAGCTCCAGCCTTTATCACTATATTTTATAATCAGTCACATACAATACAGAATATCCTAAAAAAAAACATTTGGCAATCCTTGAAAGCGATCCTATTCTCTCACAATTTTTAGAAGACAAACCTGAGGTCATATTCACAAAGGCACCAAATTTAATACTAATGTTAGCTTCCACTATAAAACCCACCAATCACACCACCAACAAAGAGACAATTAAAGGTTTTTCATGGAGCAAAAAATGTATAGGGTGTAAAAACAACCTTAGAACCAAAAAGCACAAAATTTATTTCTCTAGATGACCTTAAAGAACACAAATTAAAAGTCAATATGCACTGTAATACTTCAGGTGTAATCTACTTAATCACATGTCCATGTCCCAAACAATACATGGGACGTGCAAAAAGACCCCTGAAGATAAGAATTTCAGAACACATTCGCAATATCAAAAAAGGTCTACTAACCCATAACTTGTCAAAGCACTTTAAAGAAATACATTGGGGAGATCCAACAGGACCACAATTTTTACCAATAGAGAAAGTTGATATTCATTAGAGAGGGGGGAATCTAGAAAGGAATTTAGATCAGGCAGAGGCCAAGTGGATTTTCTCCCTTAACATCCTAGCTCAAAAGGCCTTAACGTGGACTTTGAACTCAATGCATTTTTGTAGTACCATATCATAAAATTTCATATTTTGTAGTACCATATCATAAAATTTCTCTTTTTATTTTTATTTTTATGCTTATCTTATTATTTTTAATATTTTCTTCTCTATTTTTCATCCACGCCCTTATATGTCTAGTGTTCTTTCTTGTATTATGAGATTTAGCTTGTTGTATAACTATGTTCACTCAGGGGCATGCTAGTCTTCAAAATTTGTTTAACCATAAGATGAAGACCTATTTCTGTCCTCAATGTGAATAGTAATAATTAACAACAGTCGTATGGTTCTCTATTATTTGAAAACATACAGTCTCTTACTTTTATTCTTATTTTATTTTTATTTTATATTTTAATTTTATTTTTCCTTTATTTCTATTTTTATTTTTATATGTATATTTTTATATTTATCAATATGCATTTAATAGTGATTTTTCTCTGATAATATTAATTAGATATAAAAGTATACTATTTGTCATCGTTACCACCAGCCCTGTGTTGTTTTCGCAAGCAGGGTTAGAGATACTTATGCTATATATTTTTAGACTTTTTTTAGGTTCAATTGGACTTGCTGAACAAATATTTGATACTTTTTCGTTACTTGTATTTGCATTTTATTTATCATATACTAGGTTTCTAGCTCCTGGATATTTACACTACAGCTAACAGTGTCGTCCCCCCACCCCACCCCCCCATGTTTCTTTAAGGTTTGGTGATTCCTTTTTTCCAGTTTAAGAGCTACTTATTCTTGCTTGTCTTATTCCCTCTCTTTAGTCTGGATATTCTTTTGAATGCCAGACTGTCTGTATTTTTTGTAAAATATATTGTAACTGTGACTTATTTGCCAGGATAAAGTAGAAAAACAGATGCATTTTGATCATGTTTTACTTTTGTGTGGTCCGGTGATGGATTTTCAATATTTGGAAACTTACTGGTACAATGAATTCCTGTCCAGCTACATCCATTTTAAAGTCATGGGAAAGAAAATGTGGGTAAAAATGAAATCACAAATTATGAATAACCCCATATAGGTCAGAATTATCTGTATGTTATTTGTTGATATCTTGACATAATTGTTGTATTGGTGATTTGAGTTTAGACATTAGACTTGTGCAAGGAATAAAAATTCTATTTGTCTGAATCAACTGGTCCAAACATACATTTGGCTTGATTGGACAAAAATAAATGCTATGTGGAAGTTAGATATGTCTGGATTTCCTATTCAACAGATTTGAGACAAATGATTCAGCCAAACTTAAAATTGATTTTTAAAAATGCACCTATGCACTGCAGCAATAAATGAATAAATAAGTTAACTTCACCATTTCCCTCCTCATGAATAGATTTGTTTTGTGATTCAGAGTTGCGAAAATTTCAGAGAAATTACGATTCAGTTTAAACTGAATGCACAAGTCTAATTCACATCTATAATAATGGGTTGTATATTGTGCAGATTGCATTAGACGAGGTACAAAGGTGCAACACTGATCCTATATATCATATATCTTAATCTCATACTCATCTCATTGTACTTGACATTTTTGGCGCTTGTTCTACTTTTCCACTGTTCTGAAGGTTGTAAAATATATATAGGAGTAAGGAAATGTGTGTTATGTTTACAGTATCAGTATGGTTTTTCAGTGTATATCGTCTCACTCACAATCATTAGGGCATAATTATCAGGCTGTGCGTAATCTCTATAGGGCAGTTTTTATTGCAGGTTTCTGAAATACATTTAGATCCACGGAAACAAATATTTATTTCACTACTGAAAACTGATATTAAAGAAAAAAAAAATATTTTAAACACATTTTGTTGCAATGAAGAGGCATGTCAGTAGGGATTGGATATGACACCCACGTTAGCAGTTTCATGGCTCAGCAGCTGAAAAAAATTGTATATATATAAATTAAATCATCCTTTCAAGAAGTGTTTGAGTAACTGGTGCGGTTATATAAATGATAATTTATTATATAATCTTGTAGCATATCTTTACTATTTACAGTTAAAAATGACAATGTGACTAGTCATAAAAACGTGTTCACAATCTGTTGTGGCATTCTGGACCCAATAATTCAGTTTTTATTCATTTTTACAATATTTGCATTTCTACAATTAAATTCACAATTTACGTTCACAACATAGCAATGCTAAATATATTCCCAAGAAATGTAATTGATGATAAGGCTTACAGAACATAATAGCTTACATATTAAATATGAACACTCTTCATTTGAATTCTGAAACATGAAGGACAGGAAATCAGAAAAAACTCTGTTTCAGTGTGTAAGAAGGTTTGTAAGAATGAAGAATAACATTATTAATTACATTATTTGTCCACCTTAAAAATTGCAACATTGATTTTAAGAGTCCGTTGGACAGTGCAGAAGGCGAGGGATTTTTCTGGTTCCGAGACCAGAGAGGCCGGATGGTGAAATCCTCCCTCCAGCGGATACTAAATAGTCATTGCTTTGCCAGAGAGAAAGAAGGAAATAAAAGAAGAGCCATGCATCTAATGAGTATTCCCAGTAATAGTAGTGTAAGTTCCAGAGTTTCTTTCAATTGCTGTAGTAACCTGGGTCCCAGGCCTCGGTGGTGTTCCTGATGTCCCTCACCCACCCCTGAAAATCCCAGGTGGGCGAGGGAATAATCAAAGGGATCACAATCTTTCAGCTAATTTATTTTATTCTGATAATAGGCTGAGCAAACCAGAGGAGCTTACATCCAACAACAGTGTTATGGGCAAATGCAAATATTACAAGTTTTAGAATGAAATGTTGTATTTCTTAAACTGTGTACTTTGTCTTTAAGAGATATTGCAAACTAAAAAGGTGTTAGAAATGGAACATATTGTTTTTCATAACTGTTTCTTTAAGCAATAACCTCTTGCCTACCTACAGTGCATAATATGTTTGCGCCATTTTGTCCCAGACGAATTACAATAACAATAATGCATAAACAAGCTTCAAGGCTATGCTACGACTCTTTCAGTACATAATATACTGTGGTGGTAAGCCCAAGTTAATGGAACTTCCCCAAATCCGGGAATCTCCCACGACTGTGCACTTACGTCTTAGTATAAACAACAGATAAGCTATTTAGTTATGGCCTTGTATATTTGCCAAATTAAGGGAGGTCCTAAAAGGAATAAAGTAAAAGTATACGTTTTCATATATGAACTACGATGACCCTAAAATGAAGACACCTAAGGTATAAATAGGTGTGCTTTTAAATGTTAAGGAACAGAGGAGAGACTTGGAGACAGACGCTGCTCCATCTTAAAATGAGAGGCTGACATGATAACATGTTCAGGAGGGTATGTTAACCTATTAATGATATTTGCAAGCATTTAGTTTAATCTTATAAACTCTGCTATAATGGATTTTATATGTCTATATTTATATTTTTAAATAATAAATATCCAAAAAGACAAAACTATTGCTTCCAAGAAAATTCTTATTTTATATTGTATTCTCAATTATTTATATATTTTAAATAGAGGATCTCTTACACTAACTATATAAAATTATAGCTAAGATAGCTGTATGGTTAGCCCTAAGTTCTATGCTTTAAGACATTATAGTGGTAAATAAGGGAACCAGCCACGGTTACAATTGGCGACCACGAAGGGACTTGTACTTGGAAGCTTTAACTATAAAATAATAAATACCTAGGTAACCTCTTATATGTAAGAGAAGACACAATACTTTGTCATGGCACAAGTCTTGAAATATCAAGAATCTATTGAGCTATTTGTAGCCCAGACTCAGAGCTCATGGAGAGATGATTTTAATGTGAACTTGTACAATGCACTTTAAGTTCAGGTGCCAGGTACATTGTAATAAGCATACAATGCTGAAATTGTGGATCTTAATTAATATCATAAGAGAACAAATATACGTATTTGATAAACTCCCTAATATGCCTAATACACATAGCATGGTCCATTAGTTCCAGTACAGTGGATTGCAGGCAGGGGGGTATGTTCTCTTTGTAGCTGCTTAGTATCCATGTGCAGGAAAAAGATTAATGCAAGATGTTGTCAAAAGAAAAGTGATAAGACAGAGCGATGAAATTTGAAGTCTAATTCCAAGAATGCAAAGAAAATTGCATTATGGCTTAATGAAAACATTCATGCCACATAAGCAACAGACAGACAGGCTTTTAACATCCACTATATAAGAAAAGTTTTATAAAACAGTGATAATTTCCATACTGTCAGTTACGCTAGCTGTTGATTGAAAATCAATAATTATAACCGCATAACTATTTTTGGAGTCTGGAGTTTCCAGCCGAGGTTGCGGAGATAGAGACATGTAAACATTGCTTCCATTCCAAGGAATTGAGAAGTAGTTGTTTTATATTCCAAATTATGAACAACATTATTACATACAGCCATAAAGAGAAAGACATGGTATCACGAGCGTGGGCTATAAGCCCAGCCGAGACAGTGGGGAGAGTGTGGAAGTGACAGGGTTAATGACACCAGACCCCTGGTTACCTGTTGCTAGTCCCAGCAACCACTCAATTAACCCCTGTAATCCCTTCTACACTAACCCCCTAGTACACACTTTACTGCCACCACCAAGACTTTAAACCCGGGCGTCTTAGGTTACCCCACACACAGGAGAATTATAGTATCACAGTTCTACTTTTACTGATCAAACACATATAGTTAACCCATTTTGGTAACGTGTTTACCTGAGCTTTCCTCTGGAGAGTGAAGCTCATAGAAAACAGAGACACAAGCTGATTATGTAAACATTTAATCTGAGTACAAAATACAGAAATAAATGACATACAGATAACAAATTGCAAAACAGTACATAAAATAAAATAGGAAAAAACACAAGAAATTCCTTACATGTATTTACCCCATATAGAATTCTCGTGGGAGTCTTAGATGGTATAGATCTCCTAGCAGTTGCTGACCAAAGAAAAAATGAATAACTCTCTAGATAGTCCAGAACCCTCATTAATATATCTAAACTAGTTGTTTCTCAGTGGGCAGACCACTGGGGGAGGGAGCGGGGGAATCAGAGGGGGTTGGTCTGGCAGTTTATTGCCCACTCTATGCAATTCCTTGTATCCAGCTCTAGATAGCTTGTGATGGCTATCTAGATGTTTTATGGTCTAGGCCTGGTGCCAGATCAAAGACCACAATAAATGTCATCCCAAGGTTTACAAAATTCAACTCTTAAAGGGACACTATAGTCACCTGAACAACTTTAGCTTATTGAAGTAGTTTTGGTGTATAGAACATGCCCCTGCAGCCTCACTGCTCAATCCTCTGCCATTTAGGAGTTAAATCCCTTTGTTTATGAACCCTAGTCACACCTCCCCTGCATGTGACTTGCACAGTCTTCCATAAACTCTTCCTGTAAAGAGAGCCCTATTTAGGCTTTCTTTATTGCAAGTTCTGTTTAATTAAGATTTTCTTATTCCCTGCTATGTTAATAGCTTGCTAGACCCTGCAAGAGCCTCCTGTATGGGATTAAAGTTCAATTTAGAGATTGAGATACAATTATTTAAGGTAAATTACATCTGTTTGAAAGTGAAACCAATTTTTTTTCATGCAGGCTCTGTCAATCATAGCCAGGGGAGGTGTGGCTAGGGCTGCATAAACAGAAACAAAGTGATTTAACTCCTAAGTGACAGTGAATTGAGCAGTGAAATTGCAGGGGAATGATATATACACTAAAACTGCTTTATTTAGCTAAAGTAATTTAGGTGACTATAGTGTTCCTTTAACATATATCAGTACATCAAACACCAACTCTTGCTTTTGGCATGACACATGGCTTTTAAATACATTCAGTGCAGTACAATGCAGTACACTGCAGCATATATTTTATATAATATATGCTAACTAGCTTATTTTTTTCCTAAACAGAGTTGATATTATACTACCCTCCTAAAAAAAAAAGGGCAACAGGTGGTTATACGTCCTTTGCTTCTCTAAATGCTCTGCAAAAATAAATAGTTATAAAATTATTAAAAATAATATATATGTAAGATACATCAGGGCAAAATAAAATGGTAAATATATAGGATCTTTGATAACTTTTAAACTGAAATTATCAAAGGCTTATTTAAATAAAATGTTAAATACATTTACAGCTTTAAATGTGACCAAAAGATACTAAATGATGTGTTAAGCAGCCAGCTCAATTCACTAGAATAGCATAAGTATTCTACTATTTAACGTGCTCAATTCCTGCACATAATGACTTTGCTTACTCAGGTACAGTCTTTAGTCTATTGCAATGGCAGTAAAGTCCACCAATTTTAAAAGGGAAAGTTTACTTAAATCAGTGGTACTATCCCACTGTACCTGTAGTGCTAGCAGTAAGGAAATTAGAACAATGATATTGTACTATTGAGTGTAATCAGATCAGACACATGTAATCTCAGTGAGTTTCATAAACTAGGTTTTCATAAAATAACAAAATAAGATTAAATATTAAATTTGTTTATATATAAAAATATCAATGTTGTTTATAAATAAATGTATATAGACTAGGCAATAAGAGCATTTACATGCATTCAGCAGCCTGCTCTCTCAGAGCCAGAAATGGATTTATAAAAAAAATAAAAAGTAGGTTTTAAAAAGTCCACAGTCAACCACACATGAAGGGTGAAATAATTGCTTCTTTAAAAGCTATATGCTGCCGCAATTATGTATATAATTACAGATTAGGGCACAGCGTAAAAAATCAAAAATACAGTTTCGAATCTCATATATGGGGATTCAGTTTCACCACATATTCTATAATTCTGAAAGAGGCTAATTTTAATATCTTGTAAGAGCATTGTGAATATATATAATGCAAAATTAATTTGATATTGTAAAGCCTGCAATATTCTAAACAGACATTAAAATTTAAGGAAAAAAGAAAAATAATAATGCATAAAGAATAATGCATAAAAAAAAATGCAGTGTCAATTAAAGTGATAATACTCTGATATATTAAATCACATTGCACATCACATATCTGCTATATGAAAAGTATAATTAAGGTAACTTTACTGTCCAAAGCCCCCTCACATCTATTTTATAGAATCTATACTTTTCTGTGGTCACCTCCAAAGAAGCCTCTGAAACTGGGGGCCGATGGGGAGCTCATCCCAAAAGTAATCTGATTCCAAACTTAAAGAAAAATAAATGATAGAAAAGGAATCACGGGAATACCCAGAACATGCATTTTTGTATATAATCTTAATTTGCAGATATTTTATGCCTTAAAGACATAATTAAATATTTAGACATAATTTAAATATGCAGGTATCTTTAAAAATTAAGCAATGTTAAAAAATAAATAATAATAATAAAAAATATATAAATTTTTACCACAATATAAACAGCTTTGTTAAACAGATTTAAGTACAAGTACTTACCGTATATACCCGTGTATAAGTCGAGAAATTTTACCTGCAAAATTAATGTTATATTGCAGGCTCGACTTATACACGGGTGTGAGGGGGGGTGGAGAATAAAAACATCATAGTGGTGCCGCCGGACCGGGCGGCCGCCAAGCCGGTCCGGCGGCATACTCACCTTCATGCTTTCTGACACTGAAAGCATGAAGAAGGAGGGCGGCTGCGGCGGAGTCAGCTGCGGTGGCGGCTGCGGCTGCATAATCAGGGTAGCGGGAGGGAGGGGGCCGTGGGACCGGCGGGAGCATATAAAACCACTCTCCCGCCGGTCACTTTCTCTTACCCCTCCAGATGCGCCGCGCGGGCCAAATGAGCTCACCCCTCCAGATGCGCCGCGCGGGCCAAATGAGCTCACCCCTCCAGATGGACCAATCAGCTCACCCCTCCAGATGGGCCAATCAGCTCACATTATGTTAAGGGCTGCTGGGATACATTACATCATATCCCAGCAGCCAAGTGTTTGAAATAGAGCAAAAGTGTTTATAATCTAGTGAGTTTCTGTCAGTGTGTATGTTTGTTTGTCAGTGTGTGTTTGTCAATGAATGTGTGTGTGTTTGTGTCAGTGAGTGTGTGTATGTGTCAGTGAGTGTGTGTGTCTGTGTGTATGTTTCTGTCAGTGTGTGTTTCTGTCAGTGAGTGTACGGTATGTGTTTCTGTCAGTGAAGGTGAGTGTTTGTGTCAGTGAACGTGAGTGTTTGTGTGTGTGTGTACGGTATGTGTTTCTGTCAGTGAACGTGAGTGTTTGTGTGTGTGTGTACGGTATGTGTTTCTGTCAGTGAACGTGAGTGTTTGTGTCAGTGAACGTGAGTGTTTGTGTGTGTGTGTACGGTATGTGTTTCTGTCAGTGAACGTGAGTGTTTGTGTCAGTGAACGTGAGTGTTTGTGTGTGTACGGTATGTGTTTCTGTCAGTGAATGTGAGTGTTTGTGTCAGTGAACGTGAGTGTTTGTGTGTGTGTGTACGGTATGTGTTTCTGTCAGTGAACGTGAGTGTTTGTGTCAGTGAACGTGAGTGTTTGTGTGTGTGTGTACGGTATGTGTTTCTGTCAGTGAACGTGAGTGTTTGTGTCAGTGAACGTGAGTGTGTGTGTGTGTACGGTATGTGTTTGTGTCAGTGAATGTGTGTGTTTGTGTCAGTGAATGTGTGTGTTTCTGTCAGTGAATGTGTGTGTATGTGTTTGTGTCAGTGAATGTGTGTGTTTCTGTCAGTGAATGTGTGTTTCTGTCAGTGAATGTGAGTGTTTCTGTCAGTGAGTGTGAGTGTGTTTCTGTTAGTGAGTGTGAGTGTTTATGTCAGTGTGTGTGTTTCTGTCAGTGTGTTTATGGTATGTGTTTCTGTCAGTGAATGTGTGTGTCAAGAGTCAATGAGTGCATTTGTGTATGAGCCAGTGAGTGCGTGTGTGTATATATTAAAGGAACAGTATAGGGTCAGGAACACAAATGTATTCCTGGCCTTATAGTGTAGGGTCCCTGGCCCCCTCTTGCCCCCTAAGCAAAAGGGGGCCAGTGTAATATATACACACTATATATTAAAGGATACACTATATATTAAAGGAACAGTATAAGGTCAGGAACACAAATGTATTCCTGGCCTTATAGTGTAGGGTCCCTGGCCCCCTCTTGCCCCCTAAGCAAAAGGGGGCCAGTGTAATATATACACTATATATTAAAGGATACACTATATACGCTATATATTAAAGGAACAGTATAAGGTCAGGAACACAAATGTATTCATGGCCTTATAGTGTAGGGTCCCTGGCCCCCTCTTGCCCCCTAAGCAAAAGGGGGCCAGTGTAATATATACACACTATATATTAAAGGATACACTATATACGCTATATATTAAAGGAACAGTATAAGGTCAGGAACACAAATGTATTCCTGGCCTTATAGTGTAGGGTCCCTGGCCCATAGTTAAGGCGTACTATGCTGCCCTGCACACTATGGGCTTAAACACTGTCAGGGCAGCATGGTTCATCCTAGCAGTGCAGCTGTCAGAAAGCACGAACTGAAGGAGGGAGCAGACAAAACTACCGAATGATGCTCCCTCGCGGCTCCCACAATGCACAGCATAGCCACATCATAGAGTAGTGTTTACTCCGTGATGTGTCCATGCTGGGAATTGTGGGTACCGCGAGGGAGCATGATAGAGAGACATTTGTGTTATATTTCCAGTCTCTCACGTGCAAGGTCAGCCTCGGGAGAAAGGGAATAGAGAGACACAAGGGGAGGGGGAGAAGGAGAAGGAGACATAGAGACACACGAAAGGGAGGGGAAGAGAGACACACAGGGGATAGGGGATAATGAAACATGTGCAAGAGAGAGACACAGGGGGAGGGAAAAAGAGACAGAGGGGAAGATAGAGACTGGGAAGAAAAGGGGAGAAATGGACACATAGGAGCAGTGAGGGGGAGAAAGAAACATACCGGTACACCATATAAGGGAACTTGATTGACTATTTACTCTTGTTTGTTGTCAAATGATTATTAAGATTACGGTACATTAATAACAGAATATTTTCGGTAAATTCTTATCTTCAGAAAAATGAGTTTTGCAAAGAAAACGAGAGCTTCTTACACTGCTGCACTTAAATTGAAAGTTATTGAACGTGCAAAAGAAGCCAATAATAGCGTAGCTGCAAGAGAGTTTAGCATCAGTGAAAAACTTGTAAGAGATTGGAGGAAAAATGAGGCTAAATTGCAAGCCATGCCGAAGTTGAAGAAAGCATTACGTTTCAAAGCTACACCTTTTGATGGAATGGAAAAGGATTTGAATGACTGGATAATGGAATGTAGACAAAATGGGTATGCTGTGACTCGCTCGAGCATTCGAATACGAGCACTTCAGATTGCAAAAGAAAAATATTTGGCGACTGAAGGTATGACAAAATTTAGAGCATCGTCTGGTTGGTGCACACGATTCATGAACCGATATGGATTGTGTCTTCGTCAGCGAACAAAGATCGCTCAGAAGCTGCCTAAAGAGCTGGACGAAAAGGTCATGTCATTCCACAAATTCATTATCAAACAGAGAAAAAAGAATGGTTTCGCTCTGAATAACATTGGTAATATGGATGAAACTCCGATGACATTTGATATGCCTGGCAATCGAACTGTAGAAAGCGTTGGAGAAAAAACTGTACTTATAAAAACAACCGGTCATGAAAAGTCACATTTCACTGTTGTACTGTCTTGCCTGGCAGATGGCACTAAACTGCGCCCGGTAATAATATTCAAGAGGAAAACAATGCCAAAGAATTT